TCACTCTAATTCAGCATATTTACTTAGGTGTGGAACAATTTACATTTTAAATTTTCTCCCCTTTCCCATTTCTTTACTGCTAACACAAGAAGATCAGTAATAGCTGGCCATGTGTAACATTTAATTAAATGTTTTCATTTATAAGAGTTGCCGTGGTCATGGTGTCTCTCCACAGCAATAAAAACCCAACTAAGACATTTATATTTACAGAAAACTGCAGCCGGTATATAATTCCCATCCAGCCTAAGTCACTCCCTCTGGTATCCACATTTTCACTGTACCAGCAACACTTGGTAGACTAATGCTGCTATCATCACCTATTCACAGTGAACCAGCCAATGCGGATGCTTTTAACTATTTTATGATAAATTTTATAATATATAAATAATATATATAATATAATATTTTCTATTATATATTATTTATTAACATACAATTAAAATCACATTTCAGTACAAATAAAATACCACCATATTTCCCCTTTTCTATTTTAATAAAAAGAAAAAAAGAAAAAGGTTGTAACTAACGAAAGAAAAACTATATACAAAAGTACAATAACTATATACAATATTTATAATAAAATTTATATTTTATATGTTATAGTATTTTATTTTTTATAATATAGTAACTTTTATCAACAGATCAGCTTTACTCAGATTTGACTAACTTTTATCTAATTCCTTTTTCCATTCTAGAGTCACATCCGGGGAAACCACATCACACTTGTGCTATGTTTCTTTAGGTTCTTCTTGGCTATTGATGGCTTCTCAGACTCTCTTTCCAGCTCTCTCCCTTTTGTGTGCATTTCGTGGAGTGCAGGTGTGCCCATGCGGTGACACACGTGTAGATGTCAGAGGATGGGCACAGGCACTGGCCTCTCCTTCTACCTCGTGTGTTGTTTGTCACTGTGTATGCCAGGAAGCTGGGCCAGCGAGCTTATGGGGACTGTCCTGTCCTCCTTCCTCGTCATGCCACAGGAACACTGGGATTTCAGATGCGTGCTACGGTGCCCGGCTTTCCATGGGTTCTGGGGATGGGAACTCAGGTCTTCACAACTGCACAAGCGCCTTACTCACTGGGCCACCCTCCCAGTCCGAGTGTTTCAGACCTTCTTGGACAGTTTTGGGGAGTATGATCAGAATGTTTGTAAAATCATTCAGCCATGAAGCAGCCACGTGTGAGTCAACAGAACAGGGACTGAATTTATAACCTGAAAGCCACGAAACAGTAGTGAGCGGTGTGAGCAGAACAAGTGGAAGGCAGTACACGCCACGCTCACTTGCTAGGATCAATGGTAGTTATCTGCTGTGGATATCACTCTACATAAATAAAACACTGATGGCCAGTGACCAGGCAGGAAGTATAGGCGGGACAAGGAGAGAGGAGAATTGGGGAAACAGGAAGAAGGAAGGAGGAGAGACTGCAGCCACCGCCAGGACAAGCAGCATGTAAAGATGCCGGTAAGCCACCAGCCACATGGCAAGGTATAGATTTATAGAAATGGGTTAATT